TTCGTCGTCGTCGTCCTCCTCCTCCTCCTGCTCACCGTCGCCAGCCGCTGCGGCGGCCGCCGCGGAGCCGCCCGCGTCGCCGCCGCAGCCGGAGCCGCCCGCGAGCGAGGGGAGGTCGATGACGGTGCCCTTCTTGAGGCTGATGAGGCCGTGGATGTACTCCGCCGTGCTCGCGTCCGACACCTCCTTGTCGTCGCGCTCGCGGACGAGGCGCGGGAAGCGGATGGAAAAGGCGGAGCCCGTCGATTTGTTGCCCTCGGTGAAAGCGGCACCCTTGACCTCCCACACAAAGCACCCCTCTTCGTCGGAGGGGGCCGCCCGCAGGACCGCGTCGGGGCGGCTGCCTCCCTTTGCCTCCTGCGGATACCAGCTCGGCAGCTCGTCGGTGGGGTCGAGGCGGCGCAGGAGCGGCGTGTCGCCTCCCGTGAGCGCGCCCTTGAGCTCCTCGAGGCGCGCCATCGAGAAGCCGTTTGAGAGCTTGCACACCACGCGCCACGCGTCCTCCTCCTCGTCGAAGCAGCCCATCAGGAAGCTCGAGTAGAGGGATGCCTTCTGGCCGGTGCCGAAGAAGGCGCCGAGGACTACGAGGTCCACCGAGTCGGCCATGTCGACCTCGGCCGCGTCGCAGGCGGCCTCGCCGAGGTAGTCCTTCTTGATCTTGAGCCAGACCTTGCGGTCGTTCGGCACGTACGGCCCCGCCGCATCCTTGATCATCAGCCCCTCGAGATTCTGCGCGTCCGCCTCGCCAAACGCCCTTGCCACGCCCGCGCTCGTCCGCATGAGCTTGCAGTCGGAGAGGCGAACTTGCTTCTCCTGCGGAGGGGGGCATGTGAGTGAGACCCCGCCTGCTAGTCCTTGGTAGCGCTCCATGCATCTTGGGCGTGACTGCAGTGATAGCCAGCGACTAGGTGAAAGAGCGAGCTCCTGCGGCACGAGGGCAGCCTCGAGGATCTGGCGGCGCCGCTGCAGTGGCTCGGAGGTGAGGGCTCCCCCGTCCAGCGCGAGCAGGTCGAAGACGACGAGGCAGCAGGTCGCGTCCTTGTGCTTCTTCTGCTCGTGCACGCCCTGCGCGCCGAAGGCGAGCACCGTGCCGTCGGCCGCCATCATCACAACCTCGCCGTCGAGCACCACCTCACGCGCAGGCCCTCCCGGCGAGAGGGGCGGGAAGGCCTTGCGCAGCGCCGCCTCGAGGCCGATCACCTTGGTGGCGGGCACGTCCTTGAGGGAGCGCGAGAAGAAGGCGACGCCGCCGTCGCGGGTCATGTGCACTTGCAGCCGCTCGCCGTCGTACTTGACCTGACAAGGGCGGGTGTCGGTGGAGTGACCTGACAAGGGCGGGTGTCGGCGATACGCAACGCCTCGGCGTGGCGGCGGGTGTCGGTGGAGGCGAGGGCGAGAGGGCGGCGCCAGAGGTGGCGGCGGCGCCTCGACGAAGAAGCCCGTTGGGAACTTCTTGACGGGCACCTCAAACGAGTTGCACTGCCCCGCGAGCTGCGGCTTGCACGGCCGCCCCGCCGCAACCATGCCGCCGCCGACTCCCTTGCCCTTGCCCTTGCCCTTGCCGCCGCCGCCGCCGCCGCCGCCGCCGCCGCCGGTCTTGGAGGCGGTCTTGGTGCCGGCTTGCAGCTGACAGATGGCTTCGAGCTCGTGCGGCTGCGCCTTGAACCTCGCCCACGCGCCCTCGCCACCGATGCCCTTCAGGATGGTCGCTGCGCCCGCCCCGAGGCGCAGGTCCTTCCGCACGATCCGGACGAGCACCTTGAGCTGCTCGGGCGCCGTGCGAGGGACGATCTCGGCGAGCAGGAGCCGCGTCATCGCGGACGGCTGGGCGAGCTTGTTGAGCCAGTCGTTGACGGCGGCGAGGGGCAGCGGGGGCGGGGGCGGGCTCGGAAGCACGGGCGACCGCTCGTAAAAGTGCTGCGCGCTGAGCCCGACGTCGTCGCTGTTCTCGAGGTGCGCCGCCATCGCGACCTCGGAGCAGCGCAGCACGGCGGCGAGGTGCGAGATTAGCGACTTGTCCTTGAGCGAGTAGGTCCGGTCGTCGTGCTGCCCCTACGAGCTCCGCCGGTGCTCAGCCGGGATCGAGCTGAGAGGCCGGAGGAGGTTGCCCGCGCCTTGGCGGGCAGCAGCAGCCGCGCGGTGAGGTATCGGTCCTGGGGATGCGTGAGTTTGCGGAAGTGACGTTCGACGATCGCCTGCTTCTCGAGCGAGCTGCCTCCACCCACGCCGCCCTCCCTCAGAGACACAGTCCCGGCATCTGTGATGGGGCACGCTCTCCCGCCCGTCGCCAGGGCTCATAGATAGACTCGGTCGAAAGACCCCAGATTATTTATTGGCATCCATGCCTCTCTGGACAGGGTGGCCCGCCACAAGGACCCCAGGAATTGCGACTCGCCGCTTTCCTCCCGCTGTGATTCTGTGTGAGCTCTGTGTCTTGATTTGCCAACAATATACCTAAATGCGGAATCGACCCTATCCAGTGCTCAAGTGCTCAAGTGAACACAGAAGCCCAAAAAGTCGCGAGCGGCAGTCCACGACGAGCCAGCCTGCTGCCGGCTCGCACGGCAGCCTTTTCCTCTCGACTAGCCTCAACTTCCGTACAGTCAACATTTTGTCGCTGCGTGCTCGTGGCGAGCTGTGGCGGCGGTCGAAGTTGGCCCAGATTCGACGACGAGCGCCGAACGATAGTAGTGTCTCTGTTCGCCCTGTGCATGTCAGGCCAGGCTGCAGCAGGGCACTACCATCGTGCTGCCCTGTTGCAGCCTGACTTTGCCCACTGTGCACAGTCGCCAGAGCACCACCACCGCCCGGCATCGTGTCACGGCGAGCTCCTTCTGCGCCCGCTCGCGAGGCTCTCGCGCTGGCACACTTTGGACATCTTCTGCTCGCGTTCGGCGAGCTCTTCTCCGCACTCCTGCCACGGCGCCGTCACCACACACCTTCTGGCCGGCCTGAGCCGCGCGGGGTTGCCGGCGGGGGCAACGTATCGACCTCTCTCTGGTGCCACCACGGGCCGCGACGCGGCTGCTGGCAGCAGGCGTGAGGAGGCAGTGTGCCGGCACAGTCGAGCCGGAGCATCGGGTTCTTGATGCTTGTGGGGTCAAGTTTGACCTTATGTGGTATAATATGCAACAATAATGCTATGCTATCTCCCGGCTTTTTGAGATATGATCCCTCAAAGTCGAATTATGGTTTACTGGTGACCATAGTAGTGTCTGGCATGTTTGCGTTTCTTCAAACGAATCCTTTAAAGTCTCGACAATCACCAAGCTGCTTATGTGGCACCGCAGAGGCTCCCTTGGGGATGCTTGAGGCCACCCCAACCACTCACGAAGCCGTACGTGGACGAATTCAAATCTACTTTTATGGTTTACCTACACTAAGGGAGTATAAAATGAACTCGGGGGCACGGGACGCGGCACAAACGGGGCACAAACGCCAGGCTACAAAGACGGGGAGGCACGTAGTAGACTAGTCTTGTCATAAAAAAGAGGAGACGGATCTGACCTGGGGGCCGATGTGACCAAGCGCTGGTAGCGTGGTTTTACCTCACACCCAATATGTGCATGTGCATGTGACGAGGGTGTGGAGTTGGAACTTGCCCTCCCACACGCACTGCCTAAAAGTCCAACCCACGGAGAGAGACTGGGTTGGTGGGTAACCCAGTACCACTCGCCGTGCCGCGGAGATCTGGAGAACTACCAACTGTGGTGCCCGCCCTCCACCCACCTCCCCGCGCGGGGCCGCTCCGGGGCGACCCGGGAGCCCTCCAGATCTCCCCAGATTACTATCCTTCAATCCCTCCAGATCGTAATATCTCCACTGCTGTCTTAAGGTCCGACAAGTTCGGCACCGGGCACCGCCTCGGGATACAAAATGCGCCTGCGGGCGGACCCTTAGAGTACAGTCTACAGATCATTGGGGGGGCGATCCCAAATCTG